AACATTTTTAACTCGCCCTCACGGCCACATATTTGGAGCTACAGTCACCATTTTTGGTCAGTTTGTAGGCTGAAACCTCCGGACTCACACAATGTCTTCGGAATTATGGTAGGATTAATAATTTTCCTTAAAAACCCTCCAGACCAACCTAAAGTCGATGAAAATCAGAGCCGTTTTTCATTGGTTTTGGAGCAGCAGTGGGAGAAAAACGAATGACATTATGTGTTTTAAACTCGTCATAAATATTGTTCTGAATGACACACATACACCAAAGTTGGCATAGTTGGAGTCGAAGGATTGCTGATGCTCACAGTGAAGAAATTTTTTGAATAACTCATACGGTTTTTGCTCAGCAGTCGTTTGTTCGGAGCTGTTCCTCCCATTCAAAAAAGCCTGAGAGCTAAGGAACGATAGTGCTGCGCTTTTCTCTCTGTCACTGACAGGCTCGTTAAGCGTTGTCAAGGTAACCGTGCTTCAAACAGATTTTACCTCTGCTGTTTTAAACAGCACATATTAATCTAATGGAGGGTGAAAGCACTGATTTAACATTGGGAAATGGATACTATATGACTGCTGTCCATGACACTTCCCTTGCCACTCAACACTGATAGACTTTCAAAATAAGACTCCAGGGACCCTACAAAATAAAAGCCTCTATATTTTTTTACATATATTTATTGCCCTATATGTCTCAACATTATGACCCAAACTCAACCCCATTTTAGAGAATAGACTGTAGGAGACTGTTTAAAACACACCCTATGGCAAATTTCAAAATAAAAGCCTTCCATTTCATCTTCATCTACTGCCCTAATAACATGGAAAAAAGAGTGATTTAACGATTGGAAAGTCATCAACTATCATTGCTGGGTCTGAACATTTTCTCTAAACACAACTCTGTTGGACTTTCAAAATAAGACTCCAGGGACCCTACAAAATAAAAGCCTCTAGATTATACTAATGAAATAATTGATGCAAATGGCTCAACATTATGACCCAAACTCTTCCAGGTTGTTTTTATTAGACTCTAGTGACCTTTTCAAAACACAGCCCACAGCAAATTTCACAATAAAAGTCTCCCATTTACTCTGTAATACAGCAGCTATTCACCTAATAACATGGAAAACCAGTGATTTAACATTTGGAAATGGATTCTATATCACTGCTGGGCATGACCCATCTTTTGATGCACATCCATGATAGACTTTCAAAATAAGACTACTTTAGGACTCTATAGGACTCTACAGAATAAAAGCGTCTTCCTTATACACACTCATACATTCTGGCATATTGCTCATAGCCATTTGTAATTATATCACTGCAATGGCTCTGAGCATGCGGGCTGAGCCCGCCATTGGTGATTTCATCACTGCAATGGCTCTTAGAAGGCGGGCGAAGCCCGCCAATGGTGATTTAATCACTGCAATGGCTCTTAGCAGGCGGGCGGAGCCCGCCATTGGTGATTTTTTTCATCGCTGCAAGGGCTCCTAGCAGGCTGGCGGAGCCCGCCAACTGCGCTTTACCCACTGCGGTTCAATATGGACAACCCATATTACCCTTGTGCATCATATGCTTTGCACGTCTATTTCCCAGATTTCAGCACAAGTGGCACACAGCTCTCTTTGCCCATGACCTAGCCCTCTTTCCTTCCCTCAGCAGCCCTCAAAGGCGTAAGCAGTTGGTCTGGGGAGCCCCAATGTCACTTGCCAGGGCCGTATTGGCCCAGTTACCCAGACGGGCAGTAGGTGGCCCCCCTCAAAATTTCTTTAGAAATTTTCTAGTTCTTATTATGCTCATGTCTCTGGCGGTAACAATAAAAATCAAGATAAACATTTTTATTTTTACCAAAAAAAAAAATGGAGGCAGCTTTTACACAGCTGTTGTAATCTGACATACAATTTTTGGGCTTAAGTGTAATAGTTTTAATTTAAGTGTTTTATTTAATATACCTTAGAATAAGACGTTATGTAAAAAAATACAATCAACTGTAGATATAAAGTACCTTCCCTCACAAGTTAAAAGTGCATTTAATGAAAGAGATTTCATCAACACTAGCTGTACTCAACCTTTGATCTGGTCAAATTTCAGATTTGGACCTTTACACATATGATTTAAGAACTCCTACATAAGGCTATCTTGCCTCTAACACCTGTAATATTCCCTCACTCCACAGTGCTCAAAAGTCAGCCACAAGCATTGCATCTTGTTTGGAAGCTCAGCAATGGTAAAAAGCAGAACTTGACATGAAACCATTAAAGATGCATTAGATTGAAGCTCCTGGCTCCTATAGCTCAGGCATGTTTGGAAGAGTAACTACTTTATCACACACTTTTACTCTCATCAATTTTACATGAATGCTGTGAACCCTGATCAGCAGCAAATTACATCTCTGGTGTGTGCAGAGTGTGCATGTATTAGAGTGACTTACTTAGGCATGTGTTGTCAGTAAAGTAACGCAAGAAGTTCATGCATTCCTCCTCTTGGTTTCCACTGCCCATACAGTCACACCACGGAGAGATGGTCCAGTTGGTGAAGCTGTTGTCAACATAGTTGGGGGTCATTTCCGTCCCTGCATGAGGGCACAGACAAACAAACAGACGGCTGCATGAGAATAGTCGTGGGTCACTAATGGACAGTAATGGACTACATTTATTGCAAGTAATATGTAAAATAGGACACAACATATTAGTCACAAGAATTATTTTGCATTGTTGGAGTTTATAGGAAGCATTCTATAATGCTTTATTTAGATGTAAAGAGGCCATTATGGTATAAATGTTTTGCAAGCAGATGCTGTAGGAAGTGTATGCCCTGTTAGAATCCAGCACTCCTGCTACTAACATTTCCCTTTTCAAATGTCTCTCTCAGAGTCAATGCTTTTAGTAGGCATAATAAGCATTAGTTGCACTTTGTGTGATATTTTACAGGAAAACCTAAGAAGCAATGTGACATAATATCAATTGAGCCTACATGATGTATGACATATCGTTGTAAGCACAGCTATGTCCTGCTTTATGGACACTTCAGCAACCATTAGTGCAAGATCTTTTTTTATTATAAAATTTGCATTTACAAATCTTTTTAAGCTATTTGATGCTACATAACTTCATGTACTGATGCTGTTTCCTGGAACATGAATATAGTCTTTTACTAGTCACATTATTTGCACAGCATTTATTATGTGCAAACAGATGGTTGTCAAGGCTTTTAATTAAGTAAACATTTTCTCACTGCCTGTGCTTCTTAATTTTCTTCTGGTACCAAACTGACGTCCAGTGTGCTGGCAGAGATATCAAACCAGGAGGGAAAAAATGTGGTTTCTAGTTCCTCTGGCTGTTTGATGTGATAAAAGGAGAGTAACTATACTATGTTTTATTTCAGGCTCTTATAATTATGCTTTGCTTAATGATAAACAGTGCATTGCAAACTAATTCTTTTTTTTTTTTTTTTACAAAGTTCTTTAATTTACCACTAGTTTTTTTGTATGTAATAGGCAAACACAACAGAATAACAGTAAAGTTGAACCCCAGACTGGCAGACTGGGGGTAGTGGTTCCCCTCCATAAAAAGGGGCATCAGAGTGTGTGATCCAACTATAAGCAGATTACAGTTCTCAGCCTCCCAGAGAAGGCCTAAGCCAGGGTACCGTAGAGGTGTGTCCAGCTGATTGTTGAACCTTGGCATGAACTGAATGGAACATCTTGGACTCCGGTAGGCTGGCCTCTGTCAGTGGTCCTGTACATTACCTTTATGTACAGGATTGCTAGCTTCAGCCAAAAGCCGGAGCTGGTCTGCTATGGTGACTAATGGATTTCTCCCAGATGACAGGTTCTGCTGGCTCCCTCCCACTAAGATCTACAGCATACCCTGGGGTGGTTCACAGCTGCGTGCAAAGTGGCCGTGATATAATCAGCTCCCCCAAGTGCCAGGCCAAAGTCCTTGACTGGAAAACGATGACTTGTCCCCTTCAGGTTGGAGAAGAGTTCCTGCCTAAAAAGGAGGAGTTCAAATTTTTGGGGGTCTTGTTCACAAGTGAAGGAAAAGTGGAGTGAGAGATCAATAAATGGAAAGGTACAGATGCTGCTATAATGCTGACACTGCAGTTGTGGCAAAGAGAGAGCTAGGCGAAAGGACAATGCCTTAATTTATTATTCCGTCTAAGTTGCTACCCCCTGCTATGGTCATGAAATCTGGATTATGACTGACAGAACAACATCTTTTATACAAGCAGCTAAAATAAACTTTCTCTGCAGGTCAGCTGAGCACTTCCAGCGATGAGGAATTCTGTTGTCTGAGAAAGGATCTGTGTCAAGCCACTTTTCCTCCACATCAAGAGGAGCCAGCTGAGGTGGCTCAGTGAATGCTGGAGGGGATATGTCTCTTGGCTGTCCTGGGAGCGCTTCGGGCTTTCCCAACCATGGTTGGAGAAGGTGTCAGGGGAGAGGGTGGTTTTAAGTCTCTTCTGAGACTGCCGCCTCCGCAAACAAGTACAGGATCAAAAGAAGTATGAGTACAAGTACAAGTACGTGGACCTTTTCATCTTCTTCACCCACAGTTTAAAAAACTACTATGTCACTAACAGCCATGTACTCACCAATGAGCCTTGCATAAGAGTTTAGGCAGGCTTGGTGATTATCTTGGTTGGGACAGGTTCCCACAGTGTTGGGGGCCATCCAGCAGTTAGTCATATAGTCAGCCAGTCGAGACCTGAAGAAAGAGAAAGAGTGACAGACATATGAATGCATTAGTAAGAAACAAACACAAACATGCAATACTGAGCTGATGCTCAAAACTTTCTTTTTTTAATTTTAAGTGTAGTTTTTGGATATGACCGGTAAAATGTTAACTTTTTTGAATCTTCTACAACAGTTCCTATTGATGTGTTGCTTTCTTCAAGCACCAGTGTTATTCATATCTTTCCTTTGCAATATATATTTGGTGGTACATCTATATGCTGATGAACATAACACGCATTTTTCTGTTTTCCTTGCTATTCAGAACATCTAATTTGGGTTCAGGTTAATGTAAATTTATTTGTACCTGTGGTTAAAGTAGCTCTGCAACAAAACAGCACATTCAGCTTGGCACCTAAACTCAAGAACATTGAAATATACTGTAGCGTCAAGGGATGCAATCGTAATGGACAAGAGAGAATAGATATAAATAAAATCATCAGCTCATATAGTAGCCAAGTAAAACCTAAATGACAAAAATACTCAGCTATAAAATCACAGTATTGCAGTATTGAGAGTGAAGCTTCGTCAAACAAATTGTTGGAAGAAAGTCCTTGTATTTGACTTAATTTTCAATATAGGTCATATTTTTTTCCACTGCTGTCTTCTGCACTTAAGAAATCTCTGTCTGGAGGTAGAGACTAAATACCATACGCAAAAAGAGGGAGTCACAAAATAGATTCAGCTATCCATGTTACCTCCTTCATATACAAGGTTGCTGGATTCAATTGTGGCTCATAAATCAGTACACTAAACACTTTCTCAACTGTCTCCCAAAATTCACCCTCACCATAAGGCAAAGGAACAGTTAAGAAATAAGTTGTGCTTCAATGTGTTTGTGATAAGAGCGTTAAGCCTGTGTGGGCCCCCAGGGTGGCATTGCTAATCCACTTAGCTAGGTGTAGGGGTAAAGATGTGTGCAAAGTTACCCTGCCTTTGCTGGTTACATCACAGATGCTCACAATTAGTGCACATTTGTCACTTTTTTGTTCATGTGTCATGAGTCATTCACGCTGGCCTGGTGTGACCACATTTTCAGCTTTAAGTTCGGAAGCACTTAAAAACCCGCAAGGTTGCTTCACCACCAATTAACAGGAGCTCTCACATATCTTTATGGTACCAACTAATACAGGTTTTAGTGATGAGTTAAGGTTAATTATGTTAATTAATGTTAGGTTATTTTTTATTTCTAGAAACTTTTTAAAGGTAGCACAGGTTCCAGAGTATTGCAGATATTAGCCTCCATTTGGCGACAAACTGAAATAAATCCAATGTTAATGACACAGAGAAGAGGAAAAGCATTGCACTCTGCTGCTGCTTTTGCACATTTTTTTTGTTTGGAGTTGAGATATTTAAGTTTTGTGAAATTTGATCAAATATTATTTCAACTTAAGAGATGTTAAGGAGTTGTTCCTGGGTGTAAAAAAATCAACTTACAGTACTGTGTTTGTTACAGTTATGCATCATAACAAGCATCTATAACAAGCAACTCTTCCAGTTTCACAGCCTTAAACACCACACTTAAAAACATAGGGGAAAAAATCCTGATTCACAACAAGAGCAGCTAAAATTCTCTTTAAAAGGAACACCAGACTTATACTAGCAGAGCTCCTCAAATGTGTAGCCACCTTAGCAGTGCAATTGTAGAATTTCTCTCAGTTCTAGAAAATGCACAATAAATCCAGTGAACCTTTGGTCTTTTTGCATAGTGTTTGATGTAGAACGAATATGAAGTAAGAATCAATCCTTCTCATGTGATTAAATCACAGATGTAGGAGGATGCAGCTTAAGCATGTCTATATAAATACAGTACATGAACGTCAACAACTCCTTGGGGAAAAGAAGGCCATCCAACATGTAAGTCAGGTTCACTATGAGTATTTTCTAATTCCTTGTCAGAAGAATGACGCTAATCCAAGCATTTTAAACACATAACCAGTGGATTGTTGCAACAAATGCTTTGTCTTTTTGTGATTTATTTAATTAAAATATACACATTTCTTTAACTTTAGCATAAAGACTATCTTTTTTCCTAATAACATCTGAATATTACTCAAATATTGGTCGTGGAGTAATATTATACTCCACGGCTGATCCTGACACAAATAGAAAACCTTGGCTCATGCATTTACCACATCCTGCTTGTAACATACATCATCAAAACACACCAACAAAGTGCTGATTTTGCAGGTGGAAGTGTATCAGAATTCTGTAAAAGAACAGAATATTAATGTTATAAAAATATGCATGAAGCTTTGTCTTTAAATAAACACTGTAACACGGTGGCACAGCTCAATCACTTATTCATCAATTTTTCCACAATTTCCCTGAGTTCCTGCAGTAATTGGATGAGATGAAGAATGCACTGCAATGACAGAAAGGCTGTGTCTGCATACTTATCAGCTAACATATAATCTTCTTGTTCAGCAGGAAGTGCACTTTTATTTAGAAAGGATAAAGAAATGAGTTTTGTATACATGGTATAATATTCTCTCGGGGATCAACATGATATTGTGTGGTATTCTATGCCTGTAGAACAGCACAGGCATTCAGCTCAGTGTTATTAAAATAACTGATTACATGTCTCTGTCTGTTGATTACTTTTTTAAAACTATTTTCATTTATCACTAGCTTACTGTATAGGCTTGGGTTATCTTGTATTCAACACAGATAGCTTAAAGAACATGAGATGCAGGGAAAACTAGAAATAGACTAATACAACTTTTATAGTCATTTTGTATTCACAAAGTGTATACACAGAGTGTATGCAAAAACTAAATAAGTACAGATTTTCAGACAGTAAATAAACATTTCCATTCCATAAAATCCAGCAGTGATCAAATGTATGCAGTGTGAGACAAGAGACACCATGAAAAAAATGCATTGATATAGAAGTTTGGAGCATTAATATATATAGTGCAAATATGCAGTATTTTTGAGTGGTTGTCATCTGTGTTATGCAGAGTTTGTGACATGATTTAAAGTTTCTTCAACAGTTCAGCAGTGTGATGGCGGTGGGGATGAAACCGTTGAAGAATCTGCTGGACCTGCATCAAATGCTGTGAAGCCTTTTCTCAGAGGGCAGTGTGACGGGGATGTGAGGGGTCATTGATAATGTTACAGGCTCAGAACATACAGCGCTGGGATGAAATGGAAAGAAATGAAGTGAATGAAAGGGAAGAGGAGCCCTGATGACCCTCTCCGCTGTTCTCACTATTCTTCTCACTTTCTTCTGGTCTGAGGCGCTGTAGCCTCCACACCACACAGTGAGACAAATGTACAGTATATGTATGACAAATAGATATTTACTGTATGAATAGTGTTCCTAGGTTTGCATGTTTCTTTTCTAACAGCTATTCGAAATAGGAATGGATCAACCAGACTACTGACATAGCTCCAAAATTCCACAAAATAAGTGTGGAAACCAGGGACAGATCTACAGAGTGTTGAGAGACAGCTGCAACATTGTGCCTCCTTTGAATTCCACTTTGTTACATTTTCTACTACATTCAGTACTGGCGGATATATCTTTCTACATTTCCTCCAAACTACTCAAAAATGTTTTGAAACAGAAATATTAGATTTATTTTCATGTGAAATAAACTTTGGACCATTAGAAGTGCTTCTGTCAACATTTTTTAGGAGCATTTTCAAGTATCACACTAAAGAGATTGAAAAAAACCCAGCAAAGTTCAAATAACCATACTAATTTTCACCAAAACGTTACGCTATCTTGAGGTGCTTTTTGAATAAAAAAAAAAAATGCATAAAAGGAGATGAAAGCAAGATTTAACATAATAAATATTTACCTCACATGACTGATCAGTCGGTGACCAGTTAGAATCATAAATATTTCTCAATGTCTCATGATAGCATACAACATCAGTAATGTCAGCTGATATGATAAAGTAAGTTTAATTTCCCTGAATGCAACACATTCGTTAAAACCTCGGTGTTGCATACTAGTTTGCTGCCACTATTTCCCTTTTATCACAGTCAAAAATAGCATACACATAAAACACTTTACATCGCCTTGTTAACTTAATCTTATGGATGTTCTAATTAGCCTTTCCTTTTTTTTTACGCCTTAAAATTTTGACATGATATTTGGCTGGAAACGTGGCAACTGAGTCTTGTATTTATTATCTTAAGCTCAGGTAAGACACTGTTGATACTGTCCGTGATTCAGAAGTGGCCTTATACAATGTATGTGACAGCTCCTGCACATGCCATGAATATGTCTCTGTGTTGGCATAGTTTTTCCTTCTACTTAGTTTTCCATGAATTATCATGGACGCAGCTTTCTGGGAACAGCCTGCTTCTTTAAAAATGACATTAACAGTCAAGTCAAAACTCCCTTTAATATCAAGGTGATTATTTCAGTTTAATCAGTTCTGAGCACATCCACCCGGCTGCCTATCTGTGCATTAAGTTTAAGGCTTTTCTGTCCTGGTGCAAATCCTGGTAGACACATAGTTGTCCTTGCACTTCAATACAAACATACTGACATATAAAACCAGGATGCATAATAAATTGCATAATCTAAAATCATAAAAGTGTCCCTCTCAACACATGCACTCCCTACTCAGAACCCCCTTTTCACTCATCAGCATTCAGAGGAAAAAAGCCACTTGTTCCCACAGTAATGTAAAAAATGAAAGAAAAATAAATAGAACAGGCTTAACAGAAGAGAATATTTCTGCTGTGCCTAAACAAAGCAACCTTTAAAAGCACCCTTTTTTCTCATCATAAAGGGGAAATAAAAAGTATTTAACTTTTGTGTGAACACAGAATGTAAATGTCAGATTTCTGCTGGCACAAAGGATTAAAGTAACCGAACGAGCGCAAGTTTCTTTTTAGCCGCGGAGCTCTTTCCGACAATGATGGCTTAAAAACAGTAATTTAAAGTTTAGAGAGGTGTCCTGAGTGTTCAGACAATGGCGTTCCAACACCAGGATTCGGTGCATTTCATGG